ATGAACATTTAGGGCTTTTCTTGTAAACTCTATAACTTTGCAAAGAAAGGTCGTGTAGAGCTGGGAGATGCCTCGTTTTAATCAGAAATTTATGGACTACAATTACGCCTCATTAAGAAAGCTTTTGCTGGTTCTTTAGAGTTTCTCGAAAACTGGTTTTCCAGAAGACCGGTCTTTGAAGGCTTAGCAGCAGCATTCATGGTGATATTCGAAATCAGCATCATCGACTACCTATAGTGCACTCTGTTTCGTTGAAAAAGCGATTTATCAGTTGGGGTAATTCCCTCGTCAGTTTGAAAAGAAAACTCATCCTTCAACTAGATCTCAAAAAAGTTCTTTATCTTGTTTATTTTATTTTAGATGAATTTTGGTGTATTAAGAAAATGTTTCAATCATACTTTATTACAAAAATGTTTATCTATTGAATCTTGTCGAAAACTTAATTCTACATGTACAGCTATTCCACTTGATCATCGTGGTTTAATTCATGTAACTGGTAAAGATTCATCTCCTTTTTTACAAGGTTTAATAACGAACGACATTACATTTTTAAATGTCGAACATGAACATAAAACAAATGCACTTTACAGTATGATTTTAAATGCACGTGGGCGTGTTCTTTATGATATGATTGTCTATCGGCCGATGACAGATGATCATTTAAACAATGATTATCTGCTTGAAGTATCGTTGAATGCTGTAGCCGATATTATACGATTTTTTCGTAAACATAAACTTCGTAAGAATGTTGATTTAATCGACGTAACGCAATTATATCGTATTTGGTCTATATTTCCGAACGAACCGTATATGTGGAACAATTTAACGAATGAAGATGTACGAGAAAAATTAAATTTTAAAACACGTGATGGACTCATTATAGGTCATTCAGATCCAAGACACTATAAACTTGGCATACGTATTATTACCGAACGTCAGACAAATATTTCATCATTAACTGATAATTGTAAAGAAGAACAGAATATCACTTTATATAAAAAATGGTTATACAAAAATGGTGTTGCTGAAGGTACGGATGATATTCCATCGGCAGTAGCAATACCACTTGTAAGTGTATATCAAATACAGAAAAAGGAACATGAGAAAGACTTAAAACAAAGTATAGAATTAAATTCGAAAAAAAAACCTATGAACAACCCGAGGTGACTTTCGTTTTCTCACTTAAATTACGCTATCGTTTGCTGTTTAGGAATATAATATTGTATTTTTAAATGGTGTATCATTCTCAAAAGGATGTTATATTGGTCAAGAATTAATTGCACGTACTCATCACACGGGTGTTGTCAGAAAACGAATTATGCCAGTTAAAATTGATAATTATGCTACTTTAGCCAATTCATTTTCTTCGACGCCATCAAATGATGTTGAAGAAAAATTAGACCATGAAGTGGATGATGAAACAAATAAACAACATGAACTTTCAATTATCAATGTGAATACGAAACGTAGTGCAGGAAAATTGCGATCACACATCGAAAATGAAGGGATTGCTTTGATAAGATTAAATGGATGGGATAATGAGTTGAGAATTCAAAATGGAGATGTCAGTATTAAACCGTACATTCCAAGTTGGTGGCCCCCATTAGATGAGGCAACAAAACTTGAAATGAGAATATTAGATCAAAAAGCAGTCAATAGTTGAAAGATTTTTTGTTTCCCGAACCTTTTGGTTAGAGTACGTTATTTCTCAGTTATAAACGTTAGTGTTTGCCATAGTACATCCAGATAATCTCAGATTTAGCTGTATTATACTATTTCAAACTATGTTTTAATACGTACAAAAGATAAAAATTTGATATAGGATGAGTTAATATTATCTGATCTTTATGAATTGAACAGCAGACTAACATTATGTTTTCTTTACCATCAGAATCTTTCTCGTATTTGAACAGAGAAAGATAGAGATTTCAAATTTGCATAGATTCGTATAGTAGAGTATGTTACTAGCATGAAAAATATAAGAGTATTTTTTAAATTATCGATTGTTCGATGCGGTAGACCTAGGATTTGATTTTGATTCTTTCATAGGTAGAAAGTCACAATGTTACTACATATAAAAAGTTGTATGTTTCTATCACAAGTTATTTTCGGGAAAAGTCTGTTTCATATTTCAATAGATAATACGTATTGTTTGCGTAGACTATACATCTTCTCACTAACGTTAGAGTATCTACTCTCATAAAGATCCTAGTGCTTTTTCTAACGGATAGGAAAACAATATGAGTTGATGTTGTTAAATTCATAAAGAACAGACAATATTAATTCGTTTTATACCAATTCTTTTCTGTCGAAACAGAATCTGTGCTCTTCGTTCTTTCTTGAACTTGAAAATATTGCACTTTAAACCTTCACGAAGCCCTATAGTTAATTATTACTGAATTTCGGTAGCATTCTATAACTAGCTACTTGCAAGTTTTATGTTATCACTTTTAGACAGAATTAGATAAAAAGCAAGAAAAATAAACTTGAATATTCTTGGAGTTGTTAGTTACCTTTATTTATTTTTTGTTACATTTTTGTTTCATTATTTATTCAATAAAAAGTATACTTTGTTGGAACTTTACTAGCTTTTTTCTAATCTGACGACAATCTGTTTCGTAATTCTTTTTGCTTTCTCTAGTCATTCATTATTTTTGACTACGTCCATTTTTTGAACGTTGTATTTTAATAGATTCATTGTTTTCAACTGTTTTATGTTCTCTCAAGGATGAACGATTTCTATTTTCTAATCGAGATGAATTATCGCTTTCATCGCTAGAGTTGCTGTAAATCGTATGTAAATCAGTCATGAGACACAAATTACCTAGTTTAAGTCATGATCACTCACCTGTCGCTTAACACTGTTGATTGCAGGTCTTTTATTGGTCGATGTTGATCAACATCAATATCAACAAATGCATTATTATCTCTGGCACTGAAACGCGAAAGACTTGTTTTTTTAAATCATTGTGAAATAAAAAGTAATTGGTCGATTCTTACCGAGTCATACGATTCGATGATTTGATTACTGATTGAGTTAATAACTTCTTTCGTTTACCACGTCTTCGTCGAACTAATAGTTCACCTGTTTTTTTTACCAATATTTCACAGTGTTCATTCATATCAATCGTTTGTCCAATATTTTTTAATGTTTCGACGAGGCTACCAAGATTTTCAGCGATCCATGTGTTTCCTAATTCAGAAGAAGTACAAATTTATTATATAACTAATGAATGAATGATGATATATCTATACCTGACTTTCTCGCGTAGATGATACCTCCAGCGGAGAATAATGTTTCCATTTCTGGTGTGTAAACAACAGGAGTGGGAAAGCAGAGCGGTGATGGTGTAAAAGACTATAGGATAAAACAAAAACAAGCCAAGAGTGTACGAATTGAATGACGAATGTTTTTACTGAACTTACTTTGCCTGAAGATAATCCGCAACCCATTGGTTTACCGGCACAAGCTGAATAATTCAAATTTGTGGGACAAAATGAAGCCGTAGGGGATGTATTTATACCCGATGTACAACTCTCTTGTCTGCCTGAACGAAATAATGAAATATGACATTAAGTAAACTATATGTTTATTCAGAGTATCTACCACCAACTGGATAACAGCAAGGTCCCACTGGATACTGCTGTTGTGCTTGATTTGCTGACCAATTTGGACATTGAATATATGTGTCTGTGAATGGGAGTCTTGTCATTCCTCCTCCATTATATATTGTAGCATTTGAATTAAGTGGTAAACGAATATTATTAGTTGGTGTAAATAATCTCGAATTTTGTCCATTCATTGCTACTTTCATAGGCATCGGTGGATTATAAACATTCGTTATTGGGTTCCTTTTATCAGAAATAAATCCTTCTCTACCACAACAGTTAATACCCTCAATACGACCATTATTATTTTGTGACATTAATGTGACTGCACTATTCGATATTGCAGTTCCACTATTTTCTTCAAACTGATCTCTAGTATTTCCATTATTATTATTATTATCCATATTTTCAATTTTTGGCGCATCTTTACGATTATGAGTTGACGTACTTTGGAACAAAAATGTATCAGTTAGTTGGACAGATGGAAATGATCTATAACTATCATTGTTACTTAATATATTCAGTGGAGCGATTCCACCCAAAACATTCTTGTTATTTTTTATCTGTGACGTCCATGATTGTGAATAAGCAGAATCCATTGGTTTCACATTTTCATTTAATTTAAGATATTTAACATCAGTAAATGGTGTAGAAGAAATTGTTCCTCTAGTATTTAGAGAATTTGAATTGAATGAACACAAATCATAGACGAGACTGTTCGACTGTAACAATGGTATTTGATTTTGAATAAGCGTAGATTTATTCTCTAGTTTTTGTTCATATATCTCTTCCAATTTCTTAACTCTTTGAGCTTCTATATGATTGTTATTGTTAACATTACTAGTTATCTTGTTTATTGAACTAAATGCATTCAATGATTCCGATAAATTAATTAACTCAATACCAATACTTCGATTCAAAGATCGAATTTGTTCGATTTTTAAAAACTCTACATTCTAAATAGATACCAATTCGTTAGATGCAATAGTCTATAAGGATAAATATTTTAGAATTCTCTATATAATAAAAAGAAATATTAAGAGGAAATTTTCAATGAGTAATAAGCTTAAAGATATGCATATCATAGTCTTACTACTTATGCCATCAAAGAATCAATACAGTGTTTAAAATTCTTAGTAAACTTTCTAGTCTTCATTGTATCACAATGTTACAAAATTTCATTTTGAAGATTTACTTTGATTTGTAATAAAAGATTATAAAAATAGTCGTTGATACATTTAAGATTTTTTATAATAGATGTGATATTTTGTAATTGTTCAGTTGTCTTAGATTGTTGATATTGTTGAATAATTCGTTGTAAAATTTCATTTATTTTTTCAATACACGCTTGTATTTTTCTCCATGTTTTTATCGGATCAATTGAAATTATTTCAAATTGATTAAATAATATTTTAACTCTATTACACGATTGAAATTGTTCAATTAATTTTGATATTAAAATTTGAAATAATGATAATAAATGTTTAGCATAATCCGAACGCAAATGAAATACATCGGTTAAACTTATCGATTCGGTTATAGTATTACTATTATTTTTATTATCTTTATCATCATTCAAATATTGTACATTCAAATAGGCATATAAATTCGATATGATATCTTGTAAAAATTGTGTCAGTTTATTACATGCTGTTTCAATTTGTTGATTTAACATTATCAATTTAATCAATTAGTAAAGAACAATCATCTTGATTATGAATTATTCACATATACACATTATTTATTTGTTAAGATTTAACTAAAAAACTATTTTTAAAACTCTAAAACATTAGATTAATTGTTATTATTGAGAAACTATTGATTCGATAATCAAAACAAAAAATTCGAGAAAAGCAGCAATTATTAATTAACCTTTTTTTCTTAATTGTGTATTTATTGTCAACATGTGTCCTTAGTAACAATTACTATCCAGCTATTGTTTGCTTGGTTAGAAGATTGTCTAGCGTTACTATATATTTATATTTTGTCTAATTTTAATAATTAAAAAGCACAAAATGATTTTACATAATTTTAATCATGTTTTAAAGGTAAATTATTAAACATTGTTATTGATAAACCGTTGTATATATTATATTTTTTTTCTAATCTGAATTTATTATCTAAAATTTTTGTTCTCTGTGAGATGTTTCCCATTTGTTAAGAGTATAATATTTTTTCCACACTTTGCTGCTCGTACGGAAACAGCTGGTTTGTTGAACGATCTTATGTAATAGACGGGCGAATATGGTAACTTTTACGAAGAAATAACTTATTATCCAGCGCCATAGACAATTGTAGACTTACTACTTACTACATTCTTTTCATTATTCAAAACTCAGGGTGGGTGTCAAGACTTTTGAAACAGAGAGTGAGCATACAAATTTCGGAGTAAATCATTCGGAGTGAAAAACTTTCATAATCAATATGGATAAGATGACATACAATGGTATATGCATACTCTGACCTTATATGTAATCAGATCTTCTTCGAATACACAGTGAGTGTAGAAATTATTCATACAGCAACGAAAGTTTTCTTTAGGAGGTGAACATTTTCTCCAAGAAGGAGGCAAGTTAAATAAAAATTCTTTTTACATCGTTGGATAAAGCAAAACTGTGTACTCTATGGATACAAATTGATCGAATAATAGAAGCAAAAAAGTTAAACGATATTCGATTTAAAAGAGCTGGTGATCTTGACCTTCTATGCGATCCTGGTGTTAAATAAATTACTTAATTGGTTATAAGTTTAATTGGAATTACTTAATAAATTTTATATAATCTGATTTTTCTAATCAAGATTGATATTCATATGAATTTCAATTTCTTACAATACAATGTAAAGTTTTAATAGAAAATTTATGAAATTTATACGGTATTTTTTCATTAAAATAAAAATTGTGTTTAGCTGGTAATTGAACATATAAATTATTTGGATAAAGTGTTGATTTAATTTTTATTTGTTTAACCATTTTATAGGATGAAATCAGTTTGTTAAAATAATATTGTTCGCAATAGTTTCTGTTTTCCGATTGATTTTCTCCTAATTCGATTTGAATTAGATCTTCACGAAATAGTGAATATATCCATGAATAATTTCTAGTTTTATAAAGTTTTAAATATTCTTGAAATTGTTCTATATTCATATGAAATGGACCAAATAAATGTCATACAGTTGTATACAACTTTATCCAAATAATTTATATGTTCGATTACCAGCTAAACACAATTTTTATTTTAATGAAAAAATACCGTATAAATTTCATAAATTTTCTATTAAAACTTTACATTGTATTGTAAGAAATTGAAATTCATATGAATATCAATCTTGATTAGAAAAATCAGATTATATAAAATTTATTAATTAATTCCAATTAAACTTATAACCAATTAAGTAATTTATTTAACACCAAGATCGCATAGAAGGTCGAGATCACCAGCTCTTCTAAATCGAATATCGTTTAACTTTTTTGCTTCTGTTATTCGATCAATTTGTATCCATAGAGTAGGCTGGAGTAATTATAACCAGGCACAAACTTTTTCTCAGTATTTTACGAATGGTTAACTAATTTTTGGTCGGAGAAAAATGATGACTACGCAGGTAGATACGTATGACTTTCAGCTATGCACTGATGTAAAAATTGTCTGCAAATTTACTACCGTTAATCAGTGCCATTCAATTTCCAGTGCGTTACTCCTACTTTTGAGGTAAAAAAGCAAAGTTGTCCAAAACACCTGAAACGCACATCAGTTGATTCAGTCTGTGATGCTGATTCCAAATATATTATTAGTTTTGCAAAAAAAAAAAAATGGAAGTTTAGCGGCAACGTTCTTATTTGAAATATAAAATGGGAATCGATCACAATCACATTTGGAAATCAGACGTTAAGAGTGTCGTTTAGAAAAAGAAAAGGTGCATCGAATAGAGGATGCTCTAATGTTCATGAATAGCTTAACTTTTTCTGGATGTCATTACTAATTAAGCTTCCAACTTAATTACCAAAATAATATTGACAGGAAAAAGTTTTTGAAAATTGACAATTATTACTTTTTACACGAACAGACGATCAAAATATTTTTTCTCTCTTCCAATCTTCACATTTAATAATAGATAATGGTCTTCTGAACATATTCTACCATGTGACTGGTGTGAAATGTTCAGAAGATGACTCTTAGGAAACCTATGGAAACATTTTTCTCTTTATTTTGTGTGATTTGCACGGAGTGGTTATAATTACGCCAGTTCGTGTATATCGAAAAAAATTTGATTTCACTAACTTAATTTAACGATAAAGCTGATTGACTGGAAATTTATGAGATTGGATAAAGCTCGAAATTCTCTATACGATGGACTAATTTTTAATTGAAAAGGTGCAAGTCAACCGTTGGATCAAAGTTGATTCACATCGTCCAAGCCGTTTTTGCTGTGATGGTTATAATTCCCCCAGCGGAGTACGTTGACTGGTTATTATCACCCCAAATGGGGTAATTATAACCATTTTAAGAGTAACGCACTGGAAATTGAATGACGAAACGAATTTGCAGACAATTTTTATATCAGTGCATAGCTGAAAGTCATATGTATCTACCCGTGTAGTCACCATTTTTCTCCGACCAAAAATGACTTAACCATTCGTAAAATACTGAGAAAAAGTTTGTGCCTGGTTATAATTACCCCAGCCTACTCTAAATCAACTGATATTGAAATACGACCATTTTTCATTTTTTCCATAGCAATTAAAACGTTTTCAAAATTATCCGTAGGTCAATCAGTTGCATCATTAACTGTAAGACGTTTCATGAAGTAACTATTTCCTATTCTCTCTATATTTGATGCTATGCCTAAACTGATTTATCGCCATCTAGAACTTTTCGAACTTGGACGCTATTTTATTGCGCAAACTCAGTCGCAGCAATCCCTTGAATATTTATCTATCGAAAGTTCTACTTGTCGTGAACTAGTTCATCTATTTCAACACACTCCTTATCTTCAGAGTCTTGCTATAGACAATACTAGAATCCATTTTAGTGAGGACCAACTATCATTTACTATTTCATCATTGGTCAAATTGCAGATATATACTCATGTATAAACTCTGTTAGACAAAGTACCAAGCAAGTAAAAGTAAAAATGTTACTCTGAAAAAGACCATATATCATTTTCAGTGTTCCATCAGACTGCTATTGAGTGGAATGTGTAACCAGAGAGCGTCATGTCAGTATAGAAGGTACCCCACTTTTTCTGCTTCCCTATTCAATATACTTTTTTTTGTAAAACCATTGATTCGAGATAAATGCGGTTCAGTTCAAAGACGCAAACATATTATTCAAATCAAAGTACATAGGCGGGAAACTCGTTTTGATTGAGATTCCGTTTCTTTCGCGTTAATCACTTCTGTTACTAACTGTAATTGAAGTACTGTAGGCTGAGAATCAGTCAGTTGAATATCTTCTCTCTGCTGTTGAATGTTTTCAGACCAGTTGTTTAGTTCTAAAACAGGTACAAAATTCGACAATCACTCAATAGTAATATTTTGAACTTACCATGATGCCCTTCGTTTGCAGATGTTTGCTGTCGGATACTGTTACGTATACTTTCAACGGTTTCTTCACCATTTTCAAGTGCGTTTTCAGTAAGCAATTGTTTGAGAAGAAGTGCCTCCACTTTTTCCGTACCTTCCATAATTGTTAACTGTATATGTATGTTCAATTTGTCGAGAAAGCTACTGCACAATTCGTCGGCTCCAGATATCAGGTATTCCAACTGAACATATCCGAGTATCTGGATCCAATTCAACGGAATAACCTGAAAAGACGTTAGAACGACTGTGAATTGATAGAAAGCTGAGATGTTCACTGCGTAAGCATAACGAAAAATTTGCCATTTTTTCTCATATTAACATATCTTAATATTTTCGTCAACTTTCTTATAGTGCTGCTCATCTACCTGTCTGAAACCTATCAACAATGCTTTCAGCTGTGCTTCTATTGGCTTTATAAAACGATGATGTATTAATAAACGAATGATATCGTCTTTATCATTAATGGAATCATTTGTCAATAATGTTTCTTCGCTAATTTCGTACATAATTAGTGTCTCGTTCAACTCAACCTCAGATTCAATGAGTTCTGTGCATTCTTGAAAGCGTTTTAAACGCAAATAAAATTTAAAATCCAGCAACGCCAATTCTAAATTATCCAATGTCAATGAATTTATCTGGATGAGTATATAATAGATGAGGGGAAACCCGGTTCGAATCTGTATAGCATGATTTACGGCCATGGCAATAAAACGGCCTACAAAACTGGAAACACAAGAAAATACGACAGTCAATTTATACTTGGTACTCACATAAAGTCGAATAGCTTTTCAGATGAATTAGGACTGATTAGATTGTAACCATTATTCGTTCTCACAAATAAGTCGTGAGCAGGATTGTCAAAAATTTCCTTCGATAGAGAGGTAAACCATTTACATCGGCGCTCAGCTTGGCTGCTAGAGCGCTGATTTTGCTCTTAAATATTCAAATTAATTATATCAATAACTACAACATCAAAGTGCTGTACACACCGGTGAAAACAATTTCTAGCTGACGTCGTAATTCGAATGATTCCAGTTGCATTATCTGTTTGTAGGAATCATGAAATAAATTCTCAGTTGACACTTTCAAACGGAGTATTCCAAAAGTAACATTCAACATTATTAAGTCACGTAGATATTCCCACACCGATACATTCGATTCCGATTCTTCTTTGTGCTAGAAATAAAAGGATAGGGCGTTTTCAAAAGATGATCATTACACTAAGCCAGGAATATCACAATGTCATTACACACAAGATGATTTATTTGAGATGGATAAACGAACCTTTTTATTTTTCGATATTTGCGCTCTATAGTTTTTTATCCCAGTGTCATGACATTGCTATCGTTGTCTCCCTTCTCTCAGTCTATTTTAAATAGATGCTTTTTGATGACTTAGTTCCCGAAACTATCCTGTTTGAGAACTGATTCCCATAGTGTAATTTAGGTATCTAAGAGTGCAATCAAGTTTCTCCAGAAAGTCTTTTGGGGCTCTACAAAGGAAGTCCGATTATTTATGAGTGAGTATTTAGTATAAGCGTCGATTGATTAAGCTTTTGTGATCGGACGATCAGCTTAAACGATTTTGAGAACTTGAGTAGTAGCATATACAGAACCAGTAAAGTTTCGTATTGAAGCCATGAACCTCTCTCGTGATTAGCGAAATTAAAATCAGGTTTAGAGAAATTTGTTTTTATATGAGCATTATAGCGGTATACATCAGCAGGTATGTATATCGCTATAATGCTAAAATTTTCCTGCTTTGGGTTCTTCCCGCTTAATGACAGGTTCTTAAACTTTACTAGCTTAGTTTTCAATCGCTTTAAAAGTTTCAAGTTCAACCAGAAATTTATAATAGAAAAGAATTGGAATTCCAAAATGGTCTTATATTATTAGATGAACAAACAGTATTTGCTCAAAATGCAGGTTATACCCCGAATCATAATCAGTATCTCAAGCTGCCGCAAACTATGTATATTATTAAAGGACGGGAAAAAACGGTTTCTGCTAGAAAATCGCCCAATATGATTTTGAGTGGAAATTATCGGAAATGCTTCCCTTTTCACTTCCCATTTACAAAAAATTCTTCCGGTGTCTTTGAAAAAAAATTACGTTCCATTTTTCGCCACTAGTTCAACAAAAGCCGTTTACCTTTTCCCGCAAAGTTCTCGTCCGATTTCAAAATCCTTGAGCAAAGCGCAAATATAGCAAAACAGAGAATTTTCTGGGCTTCAAAATAAGCTACAAATAAGTCTTTCGAAAATATGCCCATACAAGACAATTGTCGAAATACTAGACAGATATCATCAAGTTTACCTATCTTAGTGCTTTAAACACTCCTTCAGTCATTTTTGTGCCATAATGAATAATTATATATTGTTCGAAAACATACCATTGGATAGCCCTAGCAATTCTCTACAAAGAGAGCTGGTCCGAATATCCAGACAGGTATTGCCAGTCATTAAAGATATGTAAAAGAAGTGTTTGGATGTTATCTATGCAGTACAGTGTGTCATAATCACAAGAACTCCTTCGTTTTTTATTTTTCAGTAAAAGCTGGAACCAATCTGAATACTGTTTTGAATAGGCCGAAGATTTTTCTATCAGATGAGGTGCATATCGCCGTTTCATGGAAAAAGTTGATAATAGGTTTTCTAGAAAACCTGATCACTAGAAAACCAAGTCCTTGGTTTTTTATTACAAAATTTAGTGAACTATATAGCGCGATAGAGCAAAGAATTCTGAGGTAAATAGGATATCTTTCGGCGGTCTGTAACGCTTTTTCACCGGAATGTTTCGGTAATTTTCACACCCTTTGTAGCCATTCATAAATCGACTGCAGTTAGGTGAAAAGGCGTTACAGACCGCCGGAAGATATCCTATTTACCTCAGAATTCTTTGCACTCAAAATCATACTGGGCGATTTTCTAGCAGAAACCGTTTCCCGTGCTTTTCCAGAGAGGAAAAGGTTTCGCTCGAAAAGACACAAAGAATGGCTGTGAGTCAATTTTTCGAAAATTTGTTTTAATTTTTCTAGTTTTTTGCCAGATTAGTAAGGTTAATGAAATTGAAAATTTCAGCGCTTTTTCTGTTTCCGATTTTTTTACATGGTTGGGTAGAGCTCGTCGAGACGAACAAGAAATGTGTGTTTTGTCCATTTTAAAAAGGACACCATCGGATAAGTAGCTAAATCTGCCACCCTATGTTTTCATATTCTGAAGACTCTCTACCCAACCATGTAAAAAATCGGAAAAAGAAAAAGCGCTGAAAATTTGAATTTCATTAACCTTAGTTCAGATGATTCCAGTGAGTACTTTATGGAGGTGAATGTGCAAAATACACCAGTAACATAGTGCAACGTAGATGCTACATTTATATATAAATGTGGCATATATGCTAGATCGTAGTCCTGCGCCTCCGAATAAAAGTTGGCGTAAACATTTCCCTGTAATCGAATCCAAACGAGATATATATATATATATATATACGTGTGAGACAGTGCTAAGTAGAAAGAGTGCCATAGTCCAGTAGTTCTAAAGGACTGCTGGGTAATGTACGTACGGGAAAGAAAATTTTAATTAGCTTAATCGGAGTGATAGGTTTGATCAACCGATTAACTAATTAGAATTGATCACAGTATATGTATCAGAAATACCCTCAAGCAGCTAAATAGCTGAAAAGCTACCTTTGTATGGCTAAAGCAGAGTTTTCTGTGCAAGAAATCATAACAAAATCAAAACGATTCATTGTCGCAAAATCGACTTTTTATACGCTGAAGAGAATCGGTCAAATTTTTTTCTGAATAGCTTATTGAAGCCATTTTTCGCGCCAAAATGCGAAAAGTGATTTGAATAAAGAGATACTTTGCTGTCCGTACATTCATTCAATAAGCTATTCAGAAAAAAGTTTGAACCGATTCACAATGCGCATCCAGGCGGACATTAGGTGAAAAAATGAAAATCGACTTTTCGACGATTCAAATAATGATTAATATACTTCAAGTGATGTTCTATTTGATGGTACAACAAATTTTGTTACAAAATTTATGTATCGTGGGAAAACAGCTAATCAAAAATTAGCCTCAAATATTAGTATCGGTGAGAAAAATGAAATTTTCACAGCAGTCAATGAAGTTGTAATCAAAAACGACATATATTCTAAATCTACATGGTATCAGCTATAGATAAGTAAAAAAAGTTTTAAATTGGACTTATGATAGCTGAGAAAATTAGAAAAGGTTTTTCTCAAGCGATTTTCCGAAGGGCTAAGTTTAGTAAAGTGAGCGCGCGAAAGTTAGCGAAGGTCCAAATTTAACCAAACTTTCATAGAATGTTCTCCTGTATGCATCTATGGTGAATGTGCAAAAATGCGCAAATGTTTCTGAAGCACACAGCGGGTTTTCCAAAACATCTGAGTTTTTCAGGTATTTTCCATTTTTCTCGGTTCGGAAACGTTTTTGTTCAACAAAAATGACATATTCGGAATCTGCGCGATTGAAACTGCATCGAATGATGTGCGATCAGTAGGCTTTTTTTAGCGAAAACTTGTTGGATCTAACGGAACGCTAGAGTTGAAGCATAGCGTGATAATTTTGGCTAAGGATTTTGATATTTGCTATAGAAGCAGTCCGAAAGTCTAAAAACACCTTTTTATAGGTTTTCAGATATGCTCTTTCCAATAGCGTGCTTTACAAAGTTCCAGAATACTTATGTGTGGGTTTTCTAGAGAGTCGGTCTCTGGAGAACTCAGATGAAAGTCTCTTGGAACTTTGTAAAGCACGTCATTGGAAAGAGCATACCTGAAAACCTATAAAAAGGTGTTTTTAGACTTTCGAACTGCTTCTATAGCAAATGTCCGCCTGGCCTATGGAAAAATGCACACTGTGCGATTCTGTTCAGCGTATAAAAAGTCGATTTTGCGATAATGAATATCGCTAAATTACTTTTCTAAAAATGGTATCGTGACCTTCTAAGAATTTTTATTTTTGATGGGTAGCTAGTGTTTGTTCACTCGTTGTCGCAACCTAAAACCACATGAACCCAATTTATGCTTTGGAAACCACTTACGCTGAAAAAATGCTGCAGGTAGTCAGGGTCATCCCATTGTATGGTACTGCTTGCTTGATTTAGGAAATATACTCGACCTTGACCGTTATATATCGTTTGTGTTGTAAATAAATTTCGCTCTTCCTCGGTTATATGTAAAACAGCACCTTTTTCTTGACTCAAGGATAAAACTGAATTTCCCACACGGCCGCCCAAACACGGTTCATGTCTCACTTCCCACAAACCTAAGTCTTCCACATAAAGAGCGTTGTTGCAATTCACCAAAGTTGAATGTTCCTTGAACCATTGGAGTCGCCTAGCTAAATGATAGATAGAGGGGGGTACTAACTTGCGCTGACGCCTTGAGCTCAGATGATCGACGTAAGTAATTGCCTGTTGCGGCTCATAACATTCTTCCCAACCGACGATTTGATTTTCATAGTCACATGTAGTGGTTTCTCGACCTCTGGACTAAAAACAGAGATGATGTAGAAAGATGATACTTTCACTTGGTGAGCTCTATTTAATCCAGAAGGAAAAGTTCTTGACGAACAGTCACGTAGTTAAATGAGAGGCAAATAAGCAAATGCCCGAGCATTTTTGAAGTTCACCAAAGTCAAAGTTTTCAGTTTTAGATTTTGTCTGAAGAACACCCACATGATAAATAAAAACGTATTTTTCTAAACTCTCTTCCGCTCATATGGCTAACCAAGTATACGATAAAATAGCCCTCAAAATTCTATACAAGCCGAGCCAGTTAGAATATGTGAACTAGTGGCGCCAGTCACCGAAGACTGGCGAAAGAAACGCTGCAGTACAGAAAACGCCTATACTGGTCCACAAAATTTTCTGATCAAAAACCAAAGACTTGGAATTTTTCTTCTAGGAAAATGCTAGTAACTTTTTGATGCAAGGTCATACAGAGTTGTGAGAGATCTTATTTTGATCCGAAACGTTTGTTCTACAAATCTGTGTGTTTAGAAAATTTTTAGTTGTATAAGAATCCAGGAAAAGATATTATTTGAAGAGCCGGGTTTTCGAGGCTCCTAGAAAATTTGCTCAAAATCCGCGAAAAAGCACTTTTGTAACCAAAAGCAATACAGATTCTTAAAGTAAAAATCGGACACATCTTTGTTAATAGGTTTTCCAGAAACTCTTTTGGAAAACCTCAGGGTTTTCTAAATAATTATAATATTCTAAATAATATTATTTCGAGATCTTCTATATACTGTTTTGCATAGCTCGAAGATTTTTTTATCGCCGTTTTATTAGAAAACTCTAAAATTGAGTATTCGATACAACGTTTAATACAGCGTTTTCTCTATAAGAGAGTTACACCTGAAGTATTTCCCAAGATTTTTTATAGCGGTTTATTATAGAGGGTTTATTCTTTTTTTGTTTAAAAGAAGAAAAGAAACTACATCGTCTGACCGGCGCCGATTTTTGAATTAGGTCTTAGTTTTTTATCAAATTAAGGATTTTTAGAAAATCCGGAAGGAGTTTTCGGTTGTTTCAACGTTCAAAAAGAACGTTAAAAAGGAACGCTGACCTTTGGCAGGCCTACTGGAAACCCTAATTTTCGTAAAACTGGCTTTTCGGTGGATTTTTAAAATTTTCTCTAAAAACAAATATTGCCACAAGACTCAGCATGGTCGATTATCCACAGTCCATCTGTCTTTAAGACTACCAAGAGTCACCGGGTGCCGGTCCTGGGACTCGTTGGAAATCCGATACAGCGCCCGAACCGCGGAAAATCAAGGCCTCACTTCACTCCCATTTTGAAGAGAACACCCCGGGCTATTAGCCTATGAAAAGAAATCAATACATGCCTATGTGAATTTCAGAAAGCCCAAGCTACTTTTCCAAAGATCCTCTGAAAAACCCGCTTCAGAAATTTTTCCGCTTTTGCTTACTGAAATATGTGGTCAGATGTCTCCTTTTCAATACTGAGAACCGCAAGTCTTTGCCACACTCTCATCAAAGGTTATTCAAAAAATGGCCACTGGCCTTGTATTTTGGCGCCGATAGTAGAAGAAAATAGAATACAGATCACTATATGCAGACAAAAGAAGAAAATAGCACCTTACAATGGAGTCTCCTACAGAGGCTTCAGAGCTCCAGTATAGTATTCTACTAACTTCGTGTAATGTACCTGTTTTATCATCGGGGCTCGGACCCCAGATGGACAACAAGTGGTCGACCTTAAGGTGTTCATGTCATGGTTAAACCGAGGTTTAGTAGCTCGGAGGTGTTAGTCTGAACCTGACTTTTAGTGGTATGTGACCTACGGCAACCGAACTTCATCAGACACTGAACTGAACACTTTTGCACCGTGTTGCTGCACTCAAAAGTTGTGGTGATTTTTTTATTTTATCATAACCTTATTTTTGCGATCTTCACCATACATACTCTAGGTATTGGTATCATTAACTAACAAACCATCTTACTTTGTATTCCACGTCTTGTAAGGCAAACTGGTATCCTTGTTCGTAATCATTTGCTTCAGCAATAGACTGATTACTACCATCAAATTTTGTTACATCTGGCCTCAACTCAGGATACATTTCTAGGATAGCATTATACATCTGCATCATGTAAGTCATTACGCACTCATATGACGGATCTGTGCTGCTTAACTCAGAACTATGCAGGGTGCTGGTGGAGTCCTTGAAGATAGTGTTACAATGAGATATCAAAAGGCAACAGCGGAGTGTATGAGGTAAGACAGACATGTATAAATCTGAACTATCCGGAGATGACAGTTGTTGGTCAACGACCGACTGGTTGAATGAATCAAACTCCGATGAGGGATCAAATTTACTGAAGATTGATTTGAAACGATTATGAATAGAAGAAGCTGAGTGTTGATCGTCTTGTTCGGTTAGAGGACCATCAGGATGATTTTTCAGAATGGAACGGTGTTGCAGGTCTGTTTGGGGCAAATCGGTCAATGCAATACAGCGATGCATCATATTTTCTGACTTTACAAGTTGCTTGGCAATGGCTGTCGTCCCTATGTCCATTAACTTGGGTTTCGGAGAGATAATCGGCGTTGTGTAATCATAAACACTAACCGAAGTTATGCAAATGATTGCTATGAAAGAAAATACGTTGAAGTGATATGCTTGCTCTATATGCATTCTGAGCTGCAAATGATAAAAAAACGTTTTGTTGACCAGTAGTTATCATTTATTTGATAAACTGAATCTGCAGGAATCGTTTCAGTGCGAAGAAAGTAGTTATACATTATTCAACAGGCAGGCATGTCATCGCATGTTATGCCTGATCAAATGCGATGTAATCGAGTCGGGCTATGCACATTATTAATATTTCTCGGATGAAAGCGGGTAGAGCTCAAAAACATACTTTAATTTTATGCTCATTTTTTTCCGTCTGATTGAATAAATTGGAAAAGCTTAGTCCGTGGTCAGCTCTGTTGCCTAGCAAAACGTAGTTATAGGATTTTACTTACCTGAAGCAACCAAAGCCACATAACAAATCTCTGAATTTTCAGATTGACCTGAGTTCGGAAGATGACTACAATCCTCAAAATCAAGAAACAACTTCTTCCAGTTCGACCAGTTATCTTGCTGTTCGTTATCCACAATCGAGAGAATGTTCAAACAGGTAAGAAATTCGTCATTAGCTTCTTGTGGCATGCTACATGGAAAATAGGCTTGTTGTAGATGTTTATACTCCTGTTGGGCTCGGCACTCATCTTCAAGCAATACAAACCAGTGTTCGTTTGCAACAATATCGGAAGAAATAATGATCTCGGCCTTGTTATAGCTGGTGAGGACAATATATTGTAATCGATCTCCTGAAGGATACGATGAGCATCCTCTAACGAGGCATACGAATAGAGTTCTAATATATTAACTTTATCGATGAAATAATGTTCGCACAAGTGGCAACGTAACTTTTCACACGCGAAACGTATCCACATTGACGCTAGTTGCTGTGTGATTTGATCGTACTCAGTTTCACCACCAAGAGTTAAATCCTGCGTTTCACACATCCACAGCACAGTGGTTTTGATGAAATACGATGGTATGTAGTATTTGTCCGTCTGCTTCAAGTATTTATAATAGATATTGCGTGCAATTCCACTGAGAATTTTTTCGTTTCGCGAACGCTGCTGAGCGATGATTAGCTCAATAGCCGAAAACGAATAACGGAATTCTAGTGCACTATATCTTGCATCAGTCTTCTTCGACCATTTGGGAATGACATGCATGTAGACATGTTGAATTTTTTCGTATAACTGCGGCTTATTCATTTTCAAGCGTTGTATGGTTTGCAGCAAATCATGTGGCCAAAACTTCAGTTGCAGACTTGGTACAAGGTCGAAGTCGCTGCTCATGTGTTTAGCACCAAATTTTCGAAAATAGTGACCACGTTTCACATCAACCAAGTGTTTGAATTTTAGATAATAATCAATCATTGCTCTCGCTTTTCCCCTCAAATCGTCTGACAATTGAATGCCAAATGCTGGACCGGCAAAATCCACACCTCTATTAAGCATGTGCGTGAAATAATGTCCTATTAACGAACCATGAGATTCGAAGAGATTTGCATATTCCTTCATGATGTCGACACGACGTAAGAAATTGTCATGAATGACCGACCACATGCGGTTGTTCTTATGACGCTGAGCAGCAACTTTCCTGAGCGTATTTTCAAACAGTCTGTGTAGCATTTCCACATCAATCCCGGTGGTTCTCGTCGCGACAGAGGCTGTTTCGACGCTTGTTTGGGCCGTGCAGAAGTCTAAAGCTTCTGAATGCTTTACATGTGTCTCTTTCAATCCAAATCCGTTCACACAAAGTATACCATTTGGGCCAAGATCTTTGAGCAACCGTGGAAATTGTTGAGCTTTAACATAAACGAAACCAGGCACTGAGGTAGGAATCAAATCATCTTGTGAACAAATTTCACCACATTTCAACATTATGTCAATATCTTGCACATCTGCACAATAATGTTTTGCGTAACTCTGCCCTTCCACCGTGCTGCCAGATACAAAATGGGAAGAGAATTGATCCATGATGCAATCGCTTGTGCTGAAACAAGGTGACGAAAATATGAATATTCACACTAACACTTCTTCAAACTAAACTTCCAGACACCTTACTCTTCGGATTTGCGTTTTATTTTATTTGTTCACTAGCGAACAAATATATTACCAATGAAGCGCATTTCGGATACCGCAGTAGGCCGCTTTCTAACATCTGTTTCTCACTAAACCCGTTTTTCGCCAAACTCAACAATTTCTACGCGAAGTATTCCTGTCAAACCGCTCCATCCAGCATAAGCCCGCTCCCCCCGCAAGTAAACTTTTCCACAAACAACAATGTACACCGCCTGCAGAAAGACCACCTCGCAAAACACAGAAAAAATAACGACCGAAAATCAGAAGTTTTAAACTACTTCAGTAGACAACAAAAGTACCCCGAAAACACATCTCAAGACGACACGCAACATTACAATACAACGAAAAGCGACTAAAGTATACCTAATTCGCAGATTCAGTCAAATTAACCACTTACAATTCTTATATTTCTTATACAAAACTGATTGAACTTATTTGTTTTCGAAATACACTTCATATGATAGTCGTGTATCGTTGGAAACAATTTCACTTAAAAAAGTAATCACTAACAAGAAAGAAACGTTTTTCAGCATATATAGAGTGCAATCGGCTCTACTTCCGTGAGTTTCTTAGCTACGCTTGCTTCATGCCCCATAAAAATGGAAAATTTTTTGTCTGATTTCATTTCAAAGTGTAATCATAAATAAAACAAGTGTTATGTAAACAAACAAATTGAATAAATGTGTCATTGTTGAAACAAAATGGTAACTATCGCTGACTGTGCCAGTTAAGTCAATTAACAGAAAAATGCACTATACAAATAATACAGTGAACAATAATTACTAATAGGCATGCACCGGTTATAGCCCATGGAAATTGGGCAATTTGTTTTCAAAAAGTTCTTTTCAATGAAAACTGACTTTTTTTTTCTCACAAACTGGGTTCTGTAGAGCAAACATTTTCTTGCAAGATGAGTTATGAGAGTATTCGTCATCTTGGCCCAGTACCGATAAAAAGAAAGATTTCTTAAAAGTCCCATGATCGGTTATACCCGATTAAGGCCTTTTTGTCGAAAAGTAATTGCCGCAGAAATAGAAAACATGAAGGTTTCCGCCATAGTTTATCTTGTAGAAAAATGAACCCTTATAATAAACGAGGAAAGATTCATTAACCATTCAAAGATTCATTTTCCTAAGCCGAATAAGTTTATGGAAGTTACCATAAACGATAGGCTTTACTAGATAGACAGTTTTTTGACGTAAAGAGGTATGTTAAAGCAGAAGGAGTTCATTACAACGCTTAATAAACAAAAAACAATTATCTTTCTGCTCATACAATCAATCGAATTGATTATTAAATCCGTAGGGTATTTGATAAACGATTGATTTATCAAAATACTTTTTGGAGGTTTTTTAAGGGAAACGATTTTCAATGGAATTAAAGCTCTGTGGGTTTAGTGAAAATCTTTAGAGATATAATAAAAAACCATGCCGTCTTTCGATTTATGCTCATGAATTTGAAAGATTTACTATTAAATCAAAAACTATAAGGGTTTTTTAAAATACGCTTTCGGTTTTGTAAATTAACCCATTAAGTTTGTTATACAGTTTTAAAGGCGAAAACAGTGTAGTAAAAAACTTTTCCTGTCATTTCGAATAATTAGCTTTTATTCTGACAGCAGAAGATAAGTGAAGTTTGAATATTTTGACTGTGAAGCCCACCCTATTCTGTAAATTACAATGTTTTGAACAAGTAAATTATTTTGACAACTACTTTGATTTGTGTTTCAAGCTAAACATGTGGACAACGATTGTCTATCGGGCACCACCGCTCAGAATTTTCTGCCCTTCCGTGTCTTCTCGATCGTTTTTCAAGACACTATCACAAATCTCAAAAAATTCCAAAATACATTGGAATGACACACAACATATTAGCATTACCAACGCGCAAGAGCTGGTTGCCGAATTCGGAAACATTGGAAGTCCGATTTAAAGATCTTATCGTTAATATTGTGTCTAAGAGGATGATTCCAAAATTCATTTCGCGAGTAAATACCGTCGAATTACGCAAGGAAACGGTCCATCCATCTGTGTAAGAGATATGAGTGGGCTACATCTCAATATTTGCAAGCTCACCGAGAAGCGAGCAGTATCGCAACAATAAAAATGAATGAGTTGACCAAAAAGTTATGAATCTGTTACGCGATAAATATGGATTTTCATTGAAAGTCTAATGTATAGTTGGACAATATTTACTAAACAACGATTACCGAGTTCGAAAAGACTTTTAGATCTCTTTCTACCAACTCCAAATAAGTCATAAATAAAGCACGTCGATTTGACCTTTGCTAGGTCCTGAACGATGATAAATATGGTTAAAACTAGAAATCTTCTGTTGATTTGAATTCGTCAGTATTTGACATTAAGGTCCGAAATACTATTCGAAAAAGTGTGGAGAAAATTGTATTCAAAAATTACGGTAGAGAGACCTTGTATAGAAAAGAAGAAATATACATAGAAAAGGTTGTTAATCGCTCATATTCGCTTCCCGATCGTATGTAGTCAACGAATGAGTCGATACGTTGATTGTATGTAGTCTACTATCGCCTACGACACTTCATCAAAGTCTAATTGATGGTGATACGTTCACTTGTTCTATTGTCTAAGTGAATGTCATCGTCGCTCGATTGCTGCTGGCGACTATTTTTTATGCCTTGTTGTTGTTAATCTTGTCAAGGCGAATTGTGATCGGTTGAAAAAATCGTGGGAGATGACCAACGAACTGATGATTTTTTAAATAGCATTTTGTTCTTATGTTGAAATCAGAGAAGTGAAGGTTGTTTTTGATGTAGTAATGGTTGTTGGTTATATGATTCAAAAAGACTAAATCTGATCGTTATATTCAAGTTGTTATTTACAGGCATTTGGCAAGACAATGAACATAGTGTGAACTAAAATATTAAAATTATATTGCATGCATATTATATTGTGTACGTAATTTTTTTAAGCCTCGTTGCTAGTTACAATTCAACTGAGCGTATAGCAAAAATATGTATACTGAGAGAATTTTCTAATTAATTATTAGTAGTATTTTAGTCTATTCAAAAGAATATAGAACCTTATCAATTAATTCTTCATATTTGTAGTAACAAATTATCTTTTACGATAAAATTGTTCTAAAAAATGGTGCTAGTTTTATTAATTAAAATATGCCATAAAAGATAGACTAGAAGAACAAACCAAAAACAAAATAATGAAGAAATGACTGTCCAAAACATGCAGACAAGCAAATAAACATTTAAACAAAACAGATAAATATACGTGCGTATATATTAGCTGTGATACATACACACATACATACACTTACACACTGAACAGATGTAAGAACACAATAAGATCAAAAACATCAAAAAAATTTTTAGAAAATCTCCTCAAAAAAAGATCCCTAAACTAATAAGTTATGAAATATGCTAAAAACAAAATTCAATTAGTCGCCAATTGTATTCACATTGTTTTTCATAAATTTGTTTATCTCCATGGCTCCATATTCAAGGTCGCATAATTTTCAGTACATGGTATTTGTTCATTTCTGAAGAGAAAAATAAATAAGATATTTATTATTCGAATTTCTTATTCTGGTAACTATACCCTTCAGGTGTTCGAGGTTTGTACGGATCCGTTTGCATTGAGTATGTTTCCACGGTATCACACATAAAACTTCGATGTGTGAAATCTTTAAGTGCTTGAAGTTGAGCTAATTAACACAAAATGCATGGTAAACAAGAAATTGACTAAAAAAGTATCAATTGTGCATTCAAAAACTCACCTGGAGTAAAAACACCTTCATGTTCATAATAAAATCGATCAGAGACTTGTATCAGTGCGAATTGTCTAGCAACAATACATGCCGATGTTTTTCCAATAAGTCCTCCAGGAACAGAATCTTCCATGTTTAAACCAGCGAATAAATCGACATCATCTGGGTCGCTATAGAAATGAATAATTAATTTTATAAGCTTTATTCACATATAACAGATTTTATATAATTCGTACTCATATACTTCTCTCAAATTTTGAATTCCTTCAGTATTTATTGTGTCAGAAAAGTCTGAAAATTTCTTTGCCCTTTTATAGCCGCACCATTCACGATAGACATTATAACTAGAAATACCATGTGCTCGGCAACGATTTATATTCATTGCTGGCAAATCGTAACGTTTTGTTTCAGCTTTCTTATCATTTGTTTCAAATAAATGATGTCTTATTTGATCGGCAAAATTCCAATCCCATGCGTATCCGAAATCATTGACACTACCACGAAGGTATGCATCTAGACCACCAAAGTTAAAACTATAAACAGAATAAAACAAATTTTAGAAGACTGCAGTTATGTAAAATAAGCGGCTACGTACTCCCAAGCTGGTGCAGCACGAAGACTTATGTCCCATAGCAATTTTTGATCGATAAGTTTATGGTACGGTGTCGCACGACTATACCATTCACGAACAAGTGAGTGACAGCGAAATGCAGCTGTGGAAAATTCGGTCCAAACTCCAGGTATTTTCTAAATAAAATAAAATTTTCAAATAGAATTCCATTTCTCTGATAAGTCGGATGAATAGATTTTCAAAAAGTACAGCCAACGTCTCACTATGGACATGTGCATTTCAATATTAAATCTTTCTATTAAAACTTCTCATGTAAAAACTAAAAGGAATGAATTTACATCAAAATAGTTTCATATCTACCTCTGGGTCATATTTAGTTGGTCCGTCTGGAAAGAATTGATCAGTAAGCTCTTGTCCAAGCAACATAGGTAAATACTCATCAAAAACAACCTTTTGAAAGTAGCCCACATTAATTTTTTTCGCTCCTTCAAATAACTCATCATCAGACCAGTCACTGTGTAGTTCTTTTAATTTTCTTGCTAACATATTATGAAAACGCCACCATTGTGTCACTATGCCGGTCAATACAAGATTTTCCATAACACGTCCATCACCTATAACAAAATGTAATCATAAAACATCTGTCCATACGAAAATATTTCAACAAAAAACAGTTTTTTTATCACTTGCCAGCTGCCAAACATTTGACTCGGTCGTCTGCATCAACGCAAGATTGTCCACTTTGTTGTTGAGGCAAATAATCTTTATATGGAGTAACATCTGTGACTATCAGTAAACCATCAGTATGTTCACGAAAATTATCTATTGTCTCTTGACTACTTCCGTATACAACTGACAAATCAATAAAATGTGTGTTGTCATTCTTTTGTTCTCGTATACCTGTACAAAAATATGGAGAGGAAACGTTGTACATGTAATAGTTTCCAAGTTATTTTTTACCTAACGAACAGATTTGATCAGGAAACGCTTCAGCTGTTGCTGGAATAGCCATACATTTTTGATCAGACATCCATGGATCATTTGGTGGAATTTTTACATTAGAACACATATCATCATTACGATTACAACCACATGCTATCGGTTTACCAGATCCATCTTTTGCTGGTGCGGCAAGTGACATATCATGTCCAATAAACTGTCCAAATATAACAAAATAATTTGTATATGATCGAGAAAATTGTTGCTTATTCTGAAATAATCGTAAACTACAGTCACGTGCTGACGGTAATGGTCGGCCAGTCACTGATTTGGATCTTCGTTTACCCAGACCTAAAACAAACAAAAGTTGCATGATGTATCTGGTATTTAAGAAAGAATGTATCCTCACCATCGTCGTAGACGGCTTTCTTTATACGAGTGAATGGTGTACCGGCACTACCATAATGCGGATTTTTCAAATTATTACATATACCCGAAATATGACGACGGTCTTTGTAAGCATCACAATCTATTTTAGAGTGTAATGAACAAAATTTTTCTGGAACTTGGAATTGACGTAAAAATTCATCTCTTCAATGAGAACGAACAAAAAAGAATATTAAAAAATTTAACAGCAGCCAATATGCGAAAAACTTACAAATTTTCTGTATCTGTTCCATTTAAATCACAAAACAACCTAAAATAAAATCACAAGTAAGTAAAGATTCGCGCTCCTGTATTTTCTGCACATACGATGAAAGTAAAGAGCTTGAAACATGAACTGCTGCTTTTGCAATAATACTTTGACGAGTAGCATCATTGATTTCATCATCACCTAGAAAACAAAATCAAACATTATAGACATCCAGTATAAAGTGCAATTTTTCAATCACTTACTATTTTCGGTGTTAATAGTCTTTGATAACCGTCGAATTTCCGTTTCAAACATATTTTGCATATTAAATGGTTTGACTGCTTTTGAAGAGCCGAATAAACAGTCGGGAAAGGTTTTTTTGGTTGTTTTTTTTCGATTATCATAGTCGTCTGCTAGATATCTGTCCGGTTCGTCAGCTCGTTGATATTTGTCCCGATCGTCATCATCATCATCATAACTATCATCCCTGTAATAACTTTGGGGTCGCATTGCTGATACCCATCGGCTATTGTATTTTGAAGGCTTCCGATATTCGTCATACGAATCCCGTTGTGGACTGTACCTGCCGTTATATCGGTCTCTATCTGAATCCCGCGACATTGGACTCCATTGCGCGGAACAGAATAAGCACACACAGTGTAAAGAGAATAAAATAAGTGCGGCTTGATACTTCATAATCAATTCTCTCTAGGATGCTAAAAGTAAATTGTACAGGAGAGACTTGCAATAATACATCTGCAAATTTTAAGGAGGAATGAATAGCAACCTCACTTACTCTGCTTTTTCCTAAGTTTCCAAATCAAGGCGTTTGTAGTACAAAACTCAACAAAGAAAAGTCAGTACTGAACGTATGGGAAAGCAAGAGTTGTTGGAAGACGAGAGTATGATTTACAGATTGTGCTAGATAACTCGGTATTATTTTGCAGCTTATTTTTTTCACTGTAAAACTCCTAAAATTAAATAAGGCGGATTTTTTTCTCTGTAGTATACTGAGTCCAAACCTCTTATATCGATACCTATTTCAGGTGATTCTTCACACTCAAAAACTGAGATAGATTTAGGCACTGCAAGTATTGCTGTGTTGGACTTACTCGTTACAATGTTCTTCCACAAAATCAAACGAATAAAATTTAACTAAAAGTATATAGACGTTACTATTTAAAACGAGAAAAATGTGCGCATTCCTCACTGTTTTAATAGACCAAAAAAATACAACCACGTCACCATTGTACAGTAGGAGTTTATTTTCACATGCGAGCACATGTTTTCTGTTTGCATTTTATTGCAGAATGATGCAACAAAAAAGGAGTTTATATCTGAAGTCTTTCTCATGTTCTCTGTATATGCATCAAAAAAAATAGTACCGAACTAGATCGAGAACATGTTATAAAAAATCCATTGTTGATTGATGCTTTTACATGAAAAAGTCCATAAAATTGTTTAACATTTAACGTGGTTTGAATGCTTTCGTCCGTCGTTGATGCAATTCCAGTTTTCCAAATCAGATATACTATTGAATAAGCCCCTACACTGATAGAATCTCTATGTGGTTGAAGTTTGTTCGACGAAAGATTGCATACCTATATAGTCAATTTGACGAAAAAAAGTTCTATAAAAGGTCCAATTTTGTTAGCTAAAGAGATAGATCATCATCTCTTGAATAAAAATAATAATATAATCAAACATAGTCGAAGAATTCAATTTTTCTAGTTAATATTAAGCTGCTTTTTAATATCATGAGTTTCATACTGTCACTTTCAGAAGAACTTCCAAGGATCAAAATTCATTTTGTGTGAATGCTTCAGTGGCCAGAATGGCCTGAGATTGGTAATAAAGTCCTTTCAAACGATAACCCCTAGAAAAAAACTTTTCTGCAGTCTGGATAAGAATCTTACTGGATCCTTATCAATTTTGTTTACAAGATTGTGCAGGAAAGTGAATGGACTTTCATAAAAGCCTTATAAGAATCTTATAGGAAAGTTCTGAGGATTTCATAAGAAAGTGATAAGAACTCTTGTGTAATTCCTATTTGTTTCTCATATGTGTCTTATAAAATGCTTATAGGATTTTTACTGGATTCTGATAAGGAGTTCCTGACTTATGTTGTGCATTCAAGGCCTTTCAAAAGAGTTAAATTGATTTTAAATTGTTTTAGACAACGAGTAATTCAACGAGCGTTTTTACTCGGCGAAACAATAATATTGTAGTCAACAGTGAAACAAAAGTCAGTGCTTTAGAGCTGTCTTTAGTTATCGAGATAGTAGGACAAATTCAAAATCTTAGTTCATGATAGCTTAGTGGATAAGAGTACGGCATCGCATAGGGTAGGTCTCAGGTTCGAATCCTGAACGGATCGATGGATTTTTTCGGTTTTTTTTATTGCAGAATTCAGATGCACTACTGACGCAGATTAACTTATTGAGCAGTCTCCAAGAAACTTTATAAAACAAGAATTTTATAAGAAATAGGAAAGAATTTCATAAGAATTCTTATCACTTTCTTATGAAATCCTTAGAAATTCCTTATAAGATTCTTATAAGGCTCTTACGAAAGTCCATTCACTTTCCTGCATAATCTTGTATAAAAATTTGATAAGAATCCAGTAGGACTCTTACATGAGTCTTATTAAGTACTTATACATTTCTTGTACAGTTCTTGACTGGTGATTATACAAGAATCGATGTCTAGAGAAGTTCTGTCACATCCTATTCCAAGTGAATCACGTCGTGTAAGACTTTGCAAGATCTGATGTTTTCTTGTGAGATCTTGTTATAAGACAATGTAAGATCTTATGAAATCTTATAACTTCTTGTCGTAAGATCGTTCGAGAACTCATTATAAGAAGTCACAAGATTTTGTAAAATTTTATGGTAAGAATTCACGTGATCTTGTAAGATCTTATGCAACTTTGTGGCAAGAAAGTATATAGAAGTCAACAATGTCTGTCACAAGATTTTGTAAGATCTTACAAGATCATATGAATTCTAGTCATAAGATCGATGATTCATCTCTGCTACATAAATTTTGCGACGATATACAGTATATATATAGATAATATCATTCTCTTTGAAAAACTTGAAACTCTTGTCTCTTTTCACCTTCACACGTCAGCTGAGCACATATGAAGTGGATGGTTAAGAAACGTGATAAATACGGTCCTTCGGCCGAGTAGGACCATTGAATATTAGAAATTATATAGAAAAAGAAAATTGCAGATCTGTAAATTTCTCGAGGTAAGGATTCGATACAAAATGATCAACCGTATTATCTTATAAAATCTTGTGAATTCTTCTCTAAGGTCGTAAAATTTCTTACAGCTTCTTTCTTTGAGGTCTTATAGATCATACAAGATCTTGTACATTCCTGTCATAAGAAAAATGTTATAAAATCTATGTTTATGCATGCTTCAAAGAAACTCAGACTGTAAATAATCATCTTTCTAGTATATCAGCTTGTTTGAAGCCTATTGCAAAACTGCAGTGTGAGGCTGGACTCATAGTTAGTGGTGCTATACGTCTCAGTTCTCGAGAAAAGCTTTTTAACATCTTAGGATGGCTTTCGGTTGAACATCTATTTGCGATGCATAGAATTTTATTCTCAGAGACTGAACGCCAGTGTTTCTAGTAAATAGAATATCTACGCCAACCGCAACAACAACTATGACTTTGAGATCTTCGACAAATATTCACACACACGTGTATCGTAATCATAAAGTTAGGTTTGATACTGCATTTTTTCCATGGACAATCAGGCAGTGAAATGCATTCCCTAGTGAAACCACTTGTAACGAAGATCTTGACTTCTTGAAGTTTTTCAGTAAGATCTTGATAAGAAAACATTATAATTCAAGAAATTTCAAGAAGTTAAAATCTTGAACATCTTGTGATTTCTCGAATTCTTGTACCAAGATCTTGGAAATTCTTGAATCATCGTTTTGTTTTACACTCTTGTGTAAATAAAAGTGCGAATATTTTCACACTTAGAATAACTTCGAACTTTTTTCCTTTCTTGACCATAGTTATTTAAGAAGAAATCTATGACTCTATATGGTCGTATATCCACTGACTACGACTGTCATAAATAAAAACAAAATGTAAAGAAAATTTTTCACTCTGACTCTTGCAACATCTTGAGTGGCTTCACTTAAGATCTTGCAATTTCTTAACCCAAGATCTTGTGTGAAGTAAGCCAAGATGTTTCAAGATCTTGAGTGAAAATTTCAAAATCCAAGATCTTGTGATATTTCTCAACTCTAGATCTTGAGTACAAGAAGTTTCACTAGGGTTACCTACTACCCTCACTACAATTTTGGCTTTGAAAAAATACATCCACTTTGAAAAAGTGGATTTATGTTGGTGTTGAGTGTCAAGATCATATTGATCTCATCTTCCATGAGTCGGAGTATGAATGTTTTTTCCACGTACGTCAGTAGTTACCTTATGGATAATATTCACTATCGGCCTATCTCACTATTAACTCTGAGATCAGATACCAGTCACGTGTCGAAGCAAAATTGAGAAATACATGGGCGAAAGAACTTAATCAATCTGAGAGTGAAAATTTCTGATCTAATGTATATCTTCCTTCTTTCTTGAGTTTCATACCTCTTGTGAGAAGTCTTGAAGTGAGAGTGGCGGCGAAAAATAGCGATTTATGCAAATTCGTGAGAAAGGCATGATTTGTATCAATGCTAATAGCTTATCGTTCCGTCTTCTTCTATCTCAGTGATATAATAACCCATTGTACAACTTCTTCTCGTTTACTGTATCAATTAAAACAAACGAACCGGAACAGTTTAAAGAGATTAAAAAATCGAGAAGTAAGTTTACAAAACTAGAAAATAAAAATAGCCTGAAATATACTTGTTTTTGACTACGTGCAAACAACAAAAAAAGAAAAACTGACACAGAAATTAGTTTTGTTGTTTGCTGAATTGTACTATAAAAAAATTTTCTTATTTCTTTTATTTTGAGAGATAATGAGCTCACAAGAAAAGCTTCTTACAGTGTCCGAATACCTCTTACACATGCTGTATATCAGCATGATAAACTGATAAAAACAGATTTGCATGACAAACGTTTGCCCTGACTCATATCGATAACTATTAAGATTATCTGTGAAAAATACTAAAATTAGACTATTTTATAATCTGTGTTCTTATTGGTTGAGCATCGAGCATCGAAAGTTTTCCGCAAGCCAAAAGGTAACGCTCCACAGGACAGTGATATTCAACACGTTTGCAAGAGCAAACCCTAAATGTTGTATATATTCCCTTTCTGATTCAACTGAACGAAGTCGTAAATTCAAAGAGTCTTTGAATAGAATCTTTGAATTCAACTTCGGGTAGAGTTTTTCAAGCAGCAAAAACTATCACGATAGAACGTTCCCAATTGTGACCTCGGTATTTCTTTAAAACATACCTGATTATCGGTAATTTTTGATGCTGATTACGAGCATATGATTTCATGTTAGACCGAAAGCCCTCAATTGTATTAAGCTCGTAATGAACTGGCCGAAAGTATTTGACTGTTTCGACGATATAATCACCAAAACTCACCACAACTGATACCAATGAACTTATCTTTTCTCTCGCTCTCCACATCATCTCCAATCAATCACTCTCTTAGTATTCTTCTTTTTCCATCATCTATCAACAGTCTTTCCACTGTCCTCTTTCCCTCTGCATTCCGGATTGTATCTATTTCGAGAGGTAAATGGTCGCAGTTTACTTTGACGCAGTGTAGTTGTATAAGAGCAACCGTCTTTTTTTTTCACATCTAGTCAGGTGTATCCATTAAAGAAATCATCTTTTTGCTGTATTCCTTGTCTTCAGTTTTACGCGAATTTACCATTAAGTCGGTTGACTGCAAGTGATGTTTTCTATTTGGATTAACTAAGCTTTGTAGTACAGTCAATGAAGAAGCTCATACAAAGAACTAAGTGTTAAATTCGGGGCTAGGTGAATATCAATTTGTTGTATACGAGTTATTTGCCGTCTAAGAGTGGTATTGGTACAGGCACTGCCTCCATGCGTTTACTCCATACCATTATCATTTTGACGAGGACCCAAAAGCCAGAATTGTCGAGTACAATGTTCGTGATAGGACTGAAATAAGCGTAGCTCGTGTGTGGATTCTTATGATGGTTCTCGTGGTCGCCAGGCGTCATGCGCAGATGTAGTTGTTGAGCTAGCTTCATGTCCTTCGGTGCTCGCTCTGAATGAGAAGCATAATAGTCAGGACTGCCCGAGCCCGAGATCGTGTTCAGTATGCATAGCATGGGAAATATAAGTGCTATGCCGACAAGCAAATCAACATAGTAACAAAATATCGGCGATGGGCAAACAGAGACCAGCGGGTGAAAAGAACAGTATGTGTCGTCACAGACTCTTGCTCCTCATTCGAATCAGTGCCGTTGTCAGATGACTGAAACACGATGCTGAATTTGCTCAATAGGACAGTACCTCAATGACGCCCATACACGGGTACGGGATCCAAGGTTTGCTTTCGGCAGCAGACAAACAGTTCGTTTGCCTTTGGCATCTTAGCACTGAAGCAACAAATTGTTATGACATAACGATTTTCTCACCGATCCTTCAGTACTTTAGGCCATGAAAATTTTCACCGTAAGTAAGATGAGATGACCTTTAAAAACATTCGATAGTGAAACACAGCTAAATCTAAAGAAGCGTCCAGCCATCAGAGACATGCAAAGGGAGCGCTGGAGTGTAGAAAATACCTACAAAAAACTGAAGATTCTTGTTGTACAAATCTTTGGAGAGCACATATATGATCTCCATAGGGGACAAATGAAGATCATTTTTTTTGTTTTTTGAAGAACACAGATTTTTAACAGTGTAACTTACTGATGGACCTAAGAAAAGAAATCGTCTTAGGAAAACTGAATCAATATATTTGTATATGTCAACCATAATCATCGTCATATAATTGGAGTTTCTACTGAGAAACTTATTTTTTGAGCCCGCAATTAGCAAATATTAGACTATGCTTGCGGATTAAACAAATGGTTTTATACTTTTTATGTCGGAAAATGTTAAACGTTGTTAAATCAGCATGGCATTAATCGGTAGTCTTATATCTGCTAATTTTAAGTTAGAACTTCTTAAAAGAAGTTAGGAAAAATAGGAAGTTAGCTGCTTTGTTACGTAACTTTCACAAAAGATGGACAGTACCTGCCAAACGTCGGACCCTCCCTGTATCTCAAAAGAACCATGATGGTTTAAACTTCAAACGTAGTGTAGTTACAGCCGTGAATGCGTGTTGATCATCCATATTGTATGAGCCACTTTGATTGGATGATTTCTGAGATACATTTCCATTGGTGACAGAATGTCTTTACTGCCACCGAAACTTGTTTCTTCTACACCATTGCGGGTGTGAGTGGATAAACATCTTTCAACATTTTCTTCCAATAAAGAATGAATTTTGTCCTCAAGAACTGCATGATGAAATGTCATAATCAGCAAATATCGAGGATCATTATCTTGAGAAGTCATATGCCGTTGTCAGAGTATATCTGGCCCAAATGGCGTGTTCAACTCTTTTTCAAATGTATGGAACCATTTAAAGGGACATCGGGAAGGCCTGAGATTGGGATGGGGTCGGTAAATAAATTTTAATTCGAAGGTCTAAAAAAGCTGGGGGAGGGATTTTCAAACGTTCTAAATGTTAAAAAAAGAATTTTCTTTCAGTGCTTTCAACATGAAAAAACAAAATTTTTCAGTTATTTGGGGAGTGGCGCCTCAAGCTCCCCCTTCGATAAAAACGTCCTGTAAAAAACAGTGTATGGAGAATATTGTTGTTGAAAACCACAGATAAGCAGAGTCCGACTATCCGAACTAGAAGCTTACACATAGAATTTCATCAATACTGTACCTCGGTATCTTTACGTCTACATCATATGGACTCTCCGTTTCATTCATATACGAGAATTGACGATAGTTAGTAAGAGATAAAAAGAAGAAATGGCATAGGTCATGTGGTGTGCTCGAGAAAGTTAAGAGAACCGAGAAATTTATTCTTAGTCGAGATAACTCGAACACTTCGGACCTACACTTCCCGTCACTTACACATTTCTTCTATATATGTTGTGCGATAATTGAAGTTGAGCAATTTGCGTTGCACGTTAAAGGAGAAGGAATAAACATTTTCTTTTGCCTTTTTTATTGACGATCATTGTATGAAACAACGACATGAGAACACACAGATAAGGTGTGTATGTACAAAACAGCTGTTTTTGTTTTGTAGTAAACACCTATGGCTAGAAGTTGACAGAGCACGATTTTTAAATTTCTCATTTACTGATTTCCGGTGCTTAATAGAACTTTAAAGCTCGAAAAATCTTTGGAAAGTTTCTTAGAAATCCTCATTTCTATAAAAAATAGAAGCATAATTTAAAAATCGGACTTTATCTGTCTATCCTACCTATAGATGTTATCTACAAATCAAAAACAAAAATTTTCTTTCTCCGACGTACCGTTACACAAAATTGGTTCACGTGGCGAAAGTCCTGAAGCTAAAAACCAGTCTTAAGAAAAACGCAAAAATAAGTTTTAATTCTGTTAAATGCCTTTTTCTTAAAAACTCTTTGAGCGTTAAATAATTTGTTAATATTTTGCGATAGGTTATCGCCCATGGCGGATCTTATGAACATGTGCGACACATGCCAGCGCTTATGTAATACAAGTGCAGAAAAGCCATTTTTTTGCTATAGGGCTTCTGAAAAACTCGCTCAAAGCCTATGAAAAACCTATCCTATCGACAAAAAAACTTATGTCATTAGAAAGTAGACACTGTGAGCTGTCCAACTATGTGCTTTTCTCAAAGTCGATATTTTTGACGAAAATCGGCATTTCTGACTCGGGAGGGGGGCCTTAATGAGACATGATTGTAGCACACAAATTTCTAATCAAAATGAGACATCTCCAAGTTTTCCATGCTCTACCTTCTTTTTGGCAGAATGAAGATATATAGGCAAGTACAAGGTTTTTTGACAACAATTAAACGAAAACGCCAATTTCTGATGCATATCCTAATTATATATTGTAGAGTGATTTTCAAATCATGTTAAAGAATCGTATGGAAATATTGTCGACATGTATGCTACATTGGGAGCCCACAATAAACAGGTACTTGTATTCGTCAGTTTTGCTGTATAAATCAATCGATGATCATTAGTTATCGCAATCGAATAGATGTATGCTACATTTTCACCCGTTCGTATATTTCCTGATAGCTGAATAGAATATAACTTAATACCTTTTGTATAAACGTGTACTTGATGTATCATATCCAAAGCATAAATTCGTTCATATTGGTCAATAACAATTTTTCGAATAGTTATCTCGATAACTTTCTTCCGATACAGTGCTATTGCATGTCCATGTCTCGAGAATACGTAGACTTTTTTATCACGATTTGAGTAAACACATATGAACGCTGGATTATACGAAAATACGATAACGTCATCACTGGATACATCGGCCACTAATGGAAATGAAAAACGAACGTTTAATTTTTGTAAATCATAAACCAGAATACCAAAATCTGAACTCTTCTGGTATAACAATATAATATCATTTCCTTCTACCCAAAGACCACGAACATACGTTAAATTTGTACTTAAATCAATTTCATTTAAACGATTTAATTTGGAATCAAATAATATCATTTGTGTACTATGTTCAGAATTTTTTGAATTTTGTGTTATAACAATTAATTGATCACTGTTTGTCACTGCACCATAACGTACATGTTGTTGAGAAACATTTTTCAACATTTTTTGCCCATTACGATTGATAATTTCAATACCAAAACCAACAATAAGTTTGTATAACAATGAATCTAATCGGCGTGGTATAACATACCATTCACGTGTATCACAAGTCAATAATTTATTCATGAATGGTTCATATTTGAGCTAAATTAGACGAATTAATAATACATTTAAAAGTTTCTGATGAGATTAGATGTACCTCACACGAAGAACCAACAAACGTTGAATTGCATTTACACAATTTATATCTCTTCCAAAAACATTTAGCATCCCTTAGATCTATAGAATTTATCAAAAACAAACATTAACAATGTATGAAAGAAAAATGGCCGAGAGAGGTAATCAATTAACTGTCATCTTCAGTACCTTTGTTCCAATCAATCAGATCAAGATCTCTTCTGTACGAATGAAATGCCACCTAATTATCACTCTTTCTTACCATTCTCGAAAAATATTCTTTCTTCCTCACCCCTTTCGATGATGTTATTCTCCGTTTCAAACGTGTACGGTGGTTTGAGAAGCATATACAATAAAGTTAACAATAAAACACCTAATAACGTAAGAGATAGCCACCAAAAGATTAAGCATGTTTTAAAAGCAACCTATGGAACATATATTTAAACAGTTTTCATGAAATAATGACATTTAACACAATAATTACCGATAACTGATGACGGATTTTCCGACTATTTGTACTGCACAAGCTAAAAATAGTACACTTTGCATATTGATCAACAATTCATATTTATTGTTCAAATGTTAATACTCTTGAAGTGGTTTTGTAGAACACAGATAACCTGAATTAAATTGTTCAGCTTACAGATGTTTTAGAGTATTTGCAACTTGATGAAAAGTGCTTGACAATGAGAAAAGCTGCGAATTTTTGAGCTTAAATTGAAGTGTAACCGTTCAAAATCATCCTTTAAGCAAAATGAATATGATATTCATGATCAGCATGAAAAACTGTATCGGAAGATCTGTTATCCAAAGCTAAAGCAAGCACAACAAAAATTTTCATTCAAATTTTGTGTTTACTCCCTCCCCTTCAAGCGCTCTGCAAAATTTCTTCTCAGGACCACGAAAGGGAGTTTCTCAACCGGAAGGTGCTTTGGACAAAATGTATGTCACTCGGATCCATTTTTCATGCTGATCATGAATTTAACATTGATTTTGCTTAAAAGGTGATTTTGAACAATTACACTTCAATTTTGAGCTAAAAAATTTGCAGCTTTTCTGGGATTTTCTCATTATCAAGTGCTTTTCTTCAAGTTCGTACGGAATTTACTCAATAAACTATACATATTCTGAAAGCTGACAAGAGTTGCTACCATTTAGTGGAAGAATTGAAGTGAAGAAAGTCTTCTGTCATTTCGAAAAATTAAGCAACAGTGCGATCCATGACATCTCTTTTTTTTTCACCCATGTCAGAGTATTTCTTAAAACCTTTTGCTACCAAATCCTTCGATAAATAAGTTATATAGATATTTCAAAAAGTACTTTAAAATCTCTATCGATTTATGCATAGTTTATTATAAGTATGCTTCGTCTTCATTATGAAATTAATTAATTACATACGACATGCGTAATGATCATGAAAAAATCCAACTTCTCGTGGCTCCTTCTGCTATATCAATCATTTTATTACAAAAAGGACAAAACTAGTTGTAGTTACTATGATAATATTCTTTTTCTATTTTATACGAAAAACTCTGAAAAATATCGGTGAACGAATATTCATAAGAAACCGTTACGCTTCCTTCTCGATTTTCAGATCGCTTAAAAAATTTCGAGTCCAAAAATGCTGGAACAGTTAGAAAAGTAAAAACTGTTAACTTCGCATCCTTCAAATTTATAAAGATTTTCTAGAAATCTGTTTGTGAGTTAAAGATGACTTCATAGTTGTTGTGCGTTCTGGATGTTTAATTTAGTATCAGATCTCACTCTGAACTTTCCAAGTGATTTGGTTCGATTTTGAGAGACATCTGGCATTTATATTTATGGGTAACTTTTAAAGTATCTGTGCCAAAACTCAGATTCACTAAGTTTTCTATCTTTCTTTTGATACAAGGCTGGCTACCAGATTCATAATGATGAATAATCTAGGTTACATTTACTTTCGAGGCCATTTGATAGGAGTCATGTGGCAATCTCAGCAAAACTGATCCTCTAAACTTGAAGCAACTTAAGAAGGCTAAATCAGGCTATTTAAGATAGTTCATTTTGCAGAAATTTGATGATCTTTAAAATGATATGTAGTAAGAAAATATTTTTTCTTGTTTGGGGGAAAAGAACGAGCTGCAGAAGTGAAGACTATCTATTAACGGGGTCTACGAAAGATGTTACGAAAGAAACTTGCGCACGGATAGGTTACGCACGCAATAACAAATTCTTATTTTATATTTATACTTATTACAAAATTCTAATACTTTTAATTACCATTATGGTTTATATACATGTAATTCTACTAGTGTTTATAAGTGAAATGAAAATATTGTATTATAGAATAATATTATATGCTATTGCGGTGATTTGGTTAATAATATTCTGATGGGAATTAGAAACAAGGCTGAATAACCGTTTATCTAGATGTTGATACTTTTTCTTTTTTGAAATTTGTTCGCCGGCATTGATTCGTGGTATTTGAGTATGCATATGGGAATCTTCCTCTAAAATTAGTTTTTCGATAAACTTCTACAGAGTGGGATGTGAACATTGAAAAGCGCGTCTTGAAAAAGAAAAGTGTTCCTGAAAAGAAAGCAGATTTTAGGTTTATATTTTTCATCGGTTCAATCATCAGAGACACCAAATTATAAACAGATAAATAGTCATATTATCCGATAAATTAATTAATTGTAATAATTAGCTGTCTTACCTTTACTGATGCTTTAATCCCATTAAAATAAGGTTGTTCTAAGAACAAAACAGTTACAAGTATATAAGCATGCGTATTCGCTATCGGAATTATTGCCTATCAATTATATTCAAACATGTCTACTCCTGTCGAATTCACCAATATCACAAAAGGTCGTCCTTTGATGGTACTAGACGGTTACTCATACATTCAAGATCGTCAAATCGACGAAAAATATAAACCTAAAATCTGCTTTCTTTTCACGAACACTTTTCTTTTTCAAGACGCGCTTTTCAATGTTCACATCTCACTCTGCAGAAGTTTATCGAAAAACTAATTTTAGAGGAAGATTCCTAGTGTTTATAAGTGAAATGAAAATATTGTATTATAGAATAATATTATATGCTATTGCGGTGATTTGGTTAATAATATTCTGATGGGAATTAGAAACAAGGCTGAATAACCGTTTATCTAGATGTT